GCGGGGCCTGCGGGACCCCCCGAAATCGCGGGGCCTGCGGGACCCCCCGAAGTCGCGGGGTCGGCGGGACCCCCCGAAATCGCGGGCCTGCGGGACCCCCGAAATCGCGGGGCCTGCGGACCCCCCGGAGTCGCGGGGCCTGCGGGACCCCCCGAAATCGTCGGGCCTGCGGGACCCCTCGAAATCGCGGGGTCGGCGGGACCCCCCGAAGTCGCGGGGTCGGCGGGACCCCCCGAAGTCGCGGGGTCGGGGCGGGACCCCTCGAAATCGCGGGTCGGCGGGACCCCCGAAATCGCGGGGCCTGCGGGACCCCCCGAAGTCGCGGGGTCGGCGGGACCCCCCGAAATCGCGGGGTCGGCGGGACCCCCCGAAATCGCGGGGCCTGCGGGACCCCCCGAAATCGCGGGGCCTGCGGGACCCCCCGAAATCGCGGGGCCTGCGGGACCCCCCGAAGTCGCGGGGCCTGCGGGACCCCCCGAAGTCGCGGGTCGGCGGGACCCCCCGAAGTCGCGGGGCCTGCGGGACCCCCCGAATCGCGGGGCCTGCGGGACCCCCAAGTCGCGGGCCTGCGGGACCCCCCGAAGTCGCGGGGTCGGCGGGACCCCCCGAAGTCGCGGGGCCTGCGGGACCCCCCGAAATCGCGGGGCCTGCGGGACCCCCCGAAATCGCGGGGCCTGCGGGACCCCCCGAAATCGCGGTCGGCGGGACCCCTCGAAATCGCGGGGTCGGCGGGACCCCCCGAAGTCGCGGGGTCGGCGGGACCCCCAAATCGCGGGGCCTGCGGGACCCCCCGAAGTCGCGGGGTCGGCGGGACCCCCCGAAATCGCGGGGTCGGCGGGACCCCCCGAAATCGCGGGGCCTGCGGGACCCCCCGAAATCGCGGGGCCTGCGGGACCCCCCGAAATCGCGGGGCCTGCGGGACCCCCCGAAATCGCGGGGCCTGCGGGACCCCCCGAAATCGCGGGGCCTGCGGGACCCCCCGAAATCGCGGGGTCGGCGGGACCCCCCGAACGCGGGGTCGGCGGGACCCCTCGAAATCGCGGGTCGGCGGGACCCCCCGAAATCGCGGGTCGGCGGGACCCCCCTAAATCGCGGGTCGGCGGGACCCCCCGAAGTCGCGGGGTCGGCGGGACCCCCCGAAGTCGCGGGGTCGGCGGGACCCCTCGAAATCGCGGGGCCTGCGGGACCCCCCGAAAGTCGCGGGGCCTGCGGGACCCCCGAAGTCGCGGGGCCTGCGGGACCCCCGAAGTCGCGGGGCCGCGGGACCCCCCGAAATCGCGGGGCCTGCGGGACCCCCCGAAATCGCGGGGCCTGCGGGACCCCCCGAAATCGCGGGGCCTGCGGGACCCCCCGAAGTCGCGGGGTCGGCGGACCCCCCGAAATCGCGGGGCCGCGGGACCCCCCGAAATCGCGGGGCCTGCGGGACCCCCCGGAGTCGCGGGGCCTGCGGGACCCCCGAAATCGTCGGGCCTGCGGGACCCCTCGAAATCGCGGGGTCGGCGGGACCCCCCGAAGTCGCGGGTCGGCGGGACCCCTCGAAGTCGCGGGGTCGGCGGGACCCCTCGAAATCGCGGGGTCGGCGGGACCCCCCGAAATCGCGGGGCCTGCGGGACCCCCCGAAGTCGCGGGGTCGGCGGGACCCCCCGAAATCGCGGGGTCGCGGGACCCCCCAAATCGCGGGGGTCGGCGGGACCCCCCGAAATCGCGGGGCCTGCGGGACCCCCCGGAGTCGCGGGGCCTGCGGGACCCCCGAAATCGTCGGGCCTGCGGGACCCCTCGAAATCGCGGGGTCGGCGGGACCCCCCGAAGTCGCGGGGTCGGCGGGACCCCCGAAGTCGCGGGGTCGGCGGGACCCCTCGAAGTCGCGGGGTCGGCGGGACCCCTCGAAATCGCGGGGTCGGCGGGACCCCCCGAAATCGCGGGGCCTGCGGGACCCCCCGAAGTCGCGGGGTCGGCGGGACCCCCGAAATCGCGGGGTCGGCGGGACCCCCCGAAATCGCGGGCCTGCGGGACCCCCCGAAATCGCGGGGCCTGCGGGACCCCCCGAAATCGCGGGGCCTGCGGGACCCCCGAAGTCGCGGGCCTGCGGGACCCCCCAAGTCCGGGGTCGGCGGGACCCCCCAAGTCGCGGGGCCTGCGGGACCCCCCGAAATCGCGGGGCCTGCGGGACCCCCCGAAGTCGCGGGCGCGGGACCCCCCGAAGTCGCGGGGTCGGCGGGACCCCCCGAAGTCGCGGGGCCTGCGGGACCCCCCGAAATCGCGGGGCCTGCGGGACCCCCGAAATCGCGGGGCCTGCGGGACCCCCGAAATCGCGGGGTCGGCGGGAACCCTCGAAATCGCGGGGTCGGCGGGACCCCCCGAAGTCGCGGGGTCGCGGGACCCCCCGAAATCGCGGGGCCTGCGGGACCCCCCGAAGTCGCGGGGTCGGCGGGACCCCCCGAAATCGCGGGGTCGGGGGACCCCCCGAAATCGCGGGGCCTGCGGGACCCCCGAAATCGCGGGCCTGCGGGACCCCCCGAAATCGCGGGGCCTGCGGGACCCCCGAAATCGCGGGGCCTGCGGGACCCCCCGAAATCGCGGGGTCGGCGGGACCCCCCGAAGTCGCGGGGTCGGCGGGGACCCCTCGAAATCGCGGGGTCGGCGGGACCCCCCTCGAAATCGCGGGGTCGGCGGGACCCCCGAAATCGCGGGGTCGGCGGGACCCCCCGAAATCGCGGGGCCTGCGGGACCCCCCGAAGTCGCGGGGTCGGCGGGACCCCCGGAAATCGCGGGGTCGGCGGGACCCCCCGAATCGCGGGGCCTGCGGGACCCCCCGAAGTCGCGGGGTCGGCGGGACCCCTCGAAATCGCGGGGTCGGCGGGACCCCCCGAAGTCGCGGGGTCGGCGGGACCCCCCGAAATCGCGGGGCCTGCGGGACCCCCCGAAGTCGCGGGGTCGGCGGGACCCCCGAATCGCGGGGCCTGCGGGACCCCCCGAAATCGCGGGGGTCGGCGGGACCCCCCGAAATCGCGGGCCTGCGGGACCCCCCGAAGTCGCGGGGTCGGCGGGACCCCCCGAAATCGCGGGGTCGGCGGGACCCCCCGAAATCGCGGGGCCTGCGGGACCCCCCGAAATCGCGGGGCCTGCGGGACCCCCCGAAATCGCGGGGTCGGCGGGACCCCCCGAAATCGCGGGGTCGGCGGGACCCCCGAAGTCGCGGGGTCGGCGGGACCCCCCGAAGTCGCGGGGCCTGCGGGACCCCCCGAAATCGCGGGGCCTGCGGGACCCCCCGAAATCGCGGGGCCTGCGGGACCCCCGAAATCGCGGGGCCTGCGGGACCCCCGAAATCGCGGGGTCGGCGGGACCCCCCGAAGTCGCGGGGTCGGCGGGACCCCCCGAAATCGCGGGGCCTGCGGGACCCCTCGAAATCGCGGGGTCGGCGGGACCCCCCGAAGTCGCGGGGTCGGCGGGACCCCCCGAAATCGCGGGGCCTGCGGGACCCCCCGAAGTCGCGGGGTCGGCGGGACCCCCCGAAATCGCGGGGTCGGCGGGACCCCCCGAAATCGCGGGGCCTGCGGGACCCCCCGAAGTCGCGGGGTCGGCGGGACCCCCCGAAATCGCGGGGTCGGCGGGACCCTCGAAATCGCGGGGTCGGCGGGACCCCCCGAAGTCGCGGGGCCTGCGGGACCCCCCGAAATCGCGGGGCCTGCGGGACCCCCCGAAGTCGCGGGGCCTGCGGGACCCCCCGAAGTCGCGGGGTCGGCGGGACCCCCCGAAGTCGCGGGGCCTGCGGGACCCCCCGAAATCGCGGGGCCTGCGGGACCCCCCGAAATCGCGGGGTCGGCGGGACCCCCCGAAGTCGCGGGGTCGGCGGGACCCCTCGAAATCGCGGGGTCGGCGGGACCCCTCGAAATCGCGGGGTCGGCGGGACCCCCCGAAGTCGCGGGGTCGGCGGGACCCCCCGAAATCGCGGGGTCGGCGGGACCCCCCGAAACGCGGGGCCTGCGGGACCCCCCGAAATCGCGGGGTCGGCGGGACCCCCCGAAATCGTCGGGCCTGCGGGACCCCTCGAAATCGCGGGGCCTGCGGGACCCCCCGAAATCGCGGGGTCGGCGGGACCCCCCGAAGTCGCGGGGCCTGCGGGACCCCCCGAAATCGCGGGGCCTGCGGGACCCCCCGAAATCGCGGGGCCTGCGGGACCCCCCGAAATCGCGGGGCCTGCGGGACCCCCCGAAATCGCGGGGTCGGCGGGACCCCCCGAAGTCGCGGGGTCGGCGGGACCCCTCGAAATCGCGGGGTCGGCGGGACCCCCCGAAGTCGCGGGGTCGGCGGGACCCTCGAAATCGCGGGGTCGGCGGGACCCCCCGAAGTCGCGGGGTCGGCGGGACCCCCCGAAGTCGCGGGGCCTGCGGGACCCCCCGAAATCGCGGGGCCTGCGGGACCCCCCGAAATCGCGGGCCTGCGGGACCCCCCGAAATCGCGGGGCCTGCGGGACCCCCCGAAGTCGCGGGGTCGGCGGGACCCCCCGAAATCGCGGGGCCTGCGGGACCCCCCGAAGTCGCGGGGTCGGCGGGACCCCCCGAAATCGCGGGGCCTGCGGGACCCCCCGAAATCGCGGGGTCTGCGGGACCCCCCGAAATCGCGGGGCCTGCGGGACCCCCCGAAATCGCGGGGCCTGCGGGACCCCCCGAAGTCGCGGGGTCGGCGGGACCCCCCGAAATCGCGGGCAGCGGCAGCGAAAGATGCCAGCTGCCACAAAGAAGAGTGGTCCTAGAGCAACCAGGACCACCGAGGCCCCCATGGCAGGAACAGGAGTTCCGCCAATCAACATCGAGGGCACCGCTGATTGGTCATCCTTGAGTAGGATGATGAACAGCAAGGGGATTCAATTCTCCAAAGCGAGGACGGCGGGTACCAGTGTGAAGGTATTCACAAATACACCAGCTGACTACCGTCAGCTAGTCGCACTGCTTGAATCCATCAAGCGGCCCTTCTTCACATATCAACTGAAGGAGGACAGGATGGACCAGAGGGTCATTCGTGGGCTTCCGAGAGAGATGTCAGTCAATGACATCAAAGAGGATCTGGAGAGCCAAGGCATCGCAGACGCCGTGGTTCAGCAGCTGACCTCAAGGACCACAAAGAAGCCACTTCCGCTCTTCCTCGTCAAGACGAAGATGCCGGAAAAGCTTGCAGAGATCCAGAGGCTGGCCATGCTCACGGTCAGCTTCGAGAGGAAGAAAAAGTCTTCCGAGCCCAGCCAGTGCTACCGCTGCCAGCGGTACGGGCACACACAGCGGAACTGCCGTCTCGCTGAACGGTGCGTTAAGTGTGGAGAGGACCACAACAGCACCAGCTGCAGTCTGCCAGCGCCGCCAACAGGGCAACGAAACGCCAAGTGTTGCCTCTGTGGAGAAGGCCACCCCGCCAACTACAAGGGATGTAGTAAGGCGCCGAAGAAAGCTGCTTCTGCCCCCAAAGCAGTCCCCACCACAAATAGGACTTCTTACGCCCAAAAAGTGAAGAAGCCTATGTCCACTTCTGCCCCAGCAGCCGCCACTGCTACTGGAACTACTGCGCAGAAGCAACACGGCGATGACAGACTGCTAGCAATGATGCAAGCCATCATAACCCGCCTGGATGCACTCGAGGCCAAGATGCAAGACAAGCACTAGACCCGAAATGTCTACAGGTCAAAACGTAGAATCTCTACGCATTATCTCCTGGAACATCAACGGTTTCAGGGCACGGAAACCAGAAATCCAGGAGATACTAGACCAGTACCAACCAGAGGTGATGGCCATCCAAGAAACGAAGTTGGATGCTGCCCATAGTCTGACGTTCCCGCGGTACGAGACGTACCGGTACGACAGAAGGGGCAGAGGTGGAGGAGTCGCATTACTCGTCAAACGTACCTTGACGAGTCATGTCCTCGACGATGCCGCAGACATAAATGGGGACGGAATCACGGTCCAGGTCCATCACAACCACCGTCCCTACAGAATCACCTCCCTATATGTGCCACCAGGGGAGGCCCTAGACGAAGATGACATCGCTGACCTCCTGAGAGGCCCAGGAGCACGCATAGTCATCGGAGATCTAAACTGCAAGTCTCCGGCTTGGAACAACAACGTCGAAGACAGGAATGCAAGGCAGCTCCAGGAACACGTCGATGCCCTGGCGGGGGTCATCGTCGGTCCGGAGCAACCAACCTACATTCCATTCGGCCTTGGGCGACCTGCGGTACTGGACATAGCCATCCTCCGCAACATCAGAGAGGAGTTCGAGATAGAGACCCTGGTGGAAGGATCGTCGGACCACAATCCGATTCTACTAACACTTGGTACAGGGTCTAGAACTCGAGATAGCTTGAGCACCAAACGGACGAACTGGAACCTTTACAAATCCAACGTCCAGAGGAACATCACTCAAATTCCAACCATCCGATCAGCGGAGGAACTGGACAACGCAGTAGAGGAGCTGGAGAATGCTGTCCTGCGAGCGCACGAGGGCAGCACCCGCTCCGAGACTACGGCAGTTCCTAGATACCTAAATGGTCCAGCACCGCACCATATTAGGCACCTGATCAGGGAGAACAGAAGACTCAAGCGAGAACATCTCCAGCTGTTGACAGAGGAGTCGAGAGTTGCGCGAAACAGAGCATCGTTAGCTCTGAAGAACGCACTCGCGGAACTCCAAACAACAGATGGAATGCAGCCTGTGCAGAACTAGAGACCCAGGATGGTACGGCCTGGTCTATGCAGCGAAAATTTCGTCGTCAGCGCACCACGATCCCCACTCTTCACGGCCAACGCGGCTTGGCCTACTCCAGTGAAGAAAAAGCCGAAGCATTCGCCGATTCGCTAGAATCCGAATGCAGACTCAATTACCATGAAGACGAAGACGACAACCACGAGGAGGCCGTGGAAGTCGCAGCCGAAAACATGAGGAGTCGACCACCTGGCCAGGAGACGGATCACCCCTCCAGTCCGGAGGAAATCCGTCTGATCATCCGCAGGTTGAAGGTCAGAAAGGCGCCGGGAAGGGACGGCATCAACAATAGGATGCTGAAGAACCTTCCCACCAAAGGCATTGCTGCGCTCACCAACATCGCCAATGCCACTCTGAGACTTAACCACTTCCCGCGGCGGTGGCGGGAAGCCCAGGTTATAATGCTCACCAAGCCAGGCAAGGACCGGAAGTTGCCCCAGAACTACCGGCCCATCAGCCTGGTTTCCTCGGTGGGCAAAGTAGTCGAAAAGGCTATCGCCGTTCGACTAGAGAAGCAGGCAGAAGAACTGCAACTTCTCCCCCCAGAGCAATTCGGCTTCAGATCCTCCCACAACACGGAACTCCAAGCGCTACGACTGACGGAAAACATCACCAGCGGCTTCAATCTCCAGGAGGCAACCGGTCTCGTCCTGCTGGACGTGGAACGAGCCTTCGACCGAGTTTGGCACGATGGACTCATCGCCAAAATGGAAGCCGCCGGAATCGATGCGAACATGTGCCAACTGATCCAGAGCTATCTAACACAAAGATGGTTCACGGTGAAGATTGGTACATGCCATTCAACAAGACGTCAGCTGGAAGCAGGCGTGCCCCAGGGGTCAGCCTTAGCCCCCCTGCTCTACAACATCTATACTTACGATGTGCCGAAGACAGCTGACACAATGCTGGCCCTATATGCAGACGACACTGCTATAGCCGCCAAGCATAGACGACCCGAGATCATCCGTAGGAGACTACAGGGTGAACTGGACCAAATTCAGGACTGGTGCGTGAAATGGAAAATCCGCATCAACGTCCAGAAGACGCAGGCAATCTTCATTCAACGAAGAAGGATTGCAAGACCTCTCGAAGCATCCATCTTCGATGAAGATATCCAGTGGAGCGACAATGTCAAATATCTGGGGATCGTTTTTGACAAGTCCCTCACCTGGAAAGCGCACATAGAAGCTGTCATCGCAAAAACCAGAGCAGCATGGCTCAACTCTATCCATTACTGGGTAGACACAGCCAGATGCCGCTAGCGACCAAGCTACGGCTGATCAAGGCCATCGCCAGACCTCAGCTCGCTTACGCCTCCGCGGTCTGGGGGTACGCTGCCCCCAGCTACCGCAAGCGACTTGCTGCTCTAGAGATGAAGCTACTCCGGATCGCCACCAATGCACCTTCCTACGTAAGGAACTCAACCTTGCGTAGAGACCTGCATTGGGATACCATCCACGAGTACATGAGGAAAAAAGCGGAGAAGACCTTCGAGAAAGCTCAGGACCACCCGAACGAGCAGCTACGATTCCTCATGGACTACGATCCGGACGAGAGGCCTCGCAACCGCAGAACCAGGTACCCCAGACCAAGGTCCCAGTTGGCACCCGCTAACTGGAACCTTGACTAGGAGACTAGGAGAATTTGCGGCTGCTCCCCCCCCCCCCACGGCGTGGATGCAGAGGACCAGGAACCACCGGGACCAGGACCAACCAGGACCAGGACCCGCCACGACCAGGACCCACCAGGACCAGGACCCTTCAGGACCAGGACCAGGAACAACATATTGGTAAGATGACTTGAAACTCTTGATTTTCGAAAACAAGAGTTTCAAGAGAAACTAGCAGACCCTCTATCGATGATCGCTTAAACGACATCGATAGAATGTGCGAGGTAAAGGGAACCAACCCGGCGTTCCCAGAGACTGAAACACATGAGGAGACGTTGTAGCAGACCGCAGGTCACGCACAACACATGGCCTACCGAGACGCTGATGAGTCGGGCCACGCGGAGGTTTAGGGTTTAGTGGGTATTAGGTGATCTCTTCAAGACCCTGGAGCCCCACACACGTCGTAGCTCGTGCTATGGTATGGTGCGTAAATGCATTCCCCCCTCGTTAAAAAAAAAAAAAAAAAAAAAAAAAAAAAACATTGCCATTCTATTCTATTAATTCGGTCAACGACAGCAGATTGTAGTCGTCGATTCGCAAGTCAAAAAAGAAAATAATAAACAAATAAACATGTCCGGACGAGGAAAAGGCGGAAAAGTGAAAGGAAAGGCAAAATCCAGGTCTAGTAGGGCCGGTTTGCAATTCCCTGTAGGTCGTATACACAGATTATTGCGTAAAGGAAACTATGCCGAACGCGTCGGTGCCGGAGCTCCTGTGTACCTTGCCGCCGTTATGGAGTACTTGGCAGCCGAAGTGTTAGAGTTGGCCGGCAACGCTGCTCGCGACAATAAAAAAACCAGGATCATTCCCACGTCATCTGCAGTTAGCAATCAGGAATGATGAAGAATTAAACAAGTTACTTTCCGGCGTAACTATCGCCCAAGGCGGAGTTCTTCCGAATATTCAGGCTGTCTATTGCCGAAAAAGACAGAGAAGAAAGCCTAAATAATAATAATAATAAGAAAATAACGTCAAACTAGAAATCGGCCCTTCTCAGGGCCACACAATTCGTTTGTTGAAGAAAAAATAGAGATCATCGGATCAGGAAACAAAAAAAAATCACGTAATATTTTGCCGATATTCCTTCATGCTGTTGGGATTCAAGTAACAACAGCCCAATAACCGCATGATACAGTGTGATGTTACGTTTCTACGATACGGATCGTGACATGGAAATGCAACAAATAATACCAATTCTTACTTACCGTAACATTTTATGTTTACCTAGCATCGATGGTTGTGGAGCTCGACTATATGGAGATACCTTGGAGGGATAGTTACTTTCTAGAGGTACTGTCGGAATGATAGAACTTTATTCCAACGCAATTTTACATACAATGCCGCTAGTGTCTATAACGACAATCACGTTAACTCTCCCTCTCCCCCCCCCCCCCCTCTCTCTCTGTCTCACACATTGCTCTTCCCCCCACTCCTCAAGGGTATGAGGTTGCCTGGAACAGGGGTGGTGGAGGGACCGCACAGGGTAGGAGGGTGTGTGGTGTGTGTGCGCGCAACATCAGTTCCGAGCTAGCAGCCGTTGCGAGTGTATACTTGCACGACTGCGACACACCCGGACATATTGAGCAATCTTATTGCGATAGATTGGTTGTTTGTCATTTACGATGGCGAAAATTGAGAAGCTGGCTAACCAGCTGAAAGAGAAGAAAGATGCTGTCGCCATGCTGGCAGAGCAGATGCGAAACCTGCAAGAAGCCTTCTTGCAAGCACAACAGGAGATCGAGGACCTGAACGGGAAGCTCCGCAGGGCCACGAAGAAGGCCGCAAAGAAGACCGAAGAAGGCGAGGCAGAGGACCACCAGGCTACGTCGGACGAGATGGACGCTCAAGAAGAGGACACCCAACGGACCGAAGAGGATAGGACCACGACAGAGACAGCAAGCAACGACGACACCGATTTCAGTGTCGCCACCAGACGGAAAAAAAAAAGCGGGTGCGAATTTCCTCCTCCGAAGACGAGACGCCAAGGCAGCCAAAGATGCCAGCTGCCGCCACCAAGAACGAGTCCTAGAGCAGCCAGGACCGCCGATGCAAACATGTGCCAACTGATCCAGAGCTATCTAACACAAAGACGGTTCGCGGTGAGGATTGGTACATGCCATTCAACACGACGACAGCTGGTAGCAGGCGTGCTCCAGGAGTCAGCCTCAGTCCCCCCTGCTCTACAACATCTATACTCATGACGTACCGAAGACAGCTCACACAATGCTGGCCCTATATGCAGATGACATTGCTATCGCCGCTAAGCATCGACGACCCGAGATTATCCGTAGCAGACTACAGGATGAACTGGACTGTTGCGTGAAATGGAAAATCCGTATCAACGTCCAGAAGACGCAGGCAATCTTCATCCAACGAAGAAGGATTGCAAGCCCTCTCGAAGCATCCATCATCGACGAAGATATCCAGTGGAGCGACAAGGTCAAATATCTGGGGATCGTATTTGACAAGTCCCTCACCTGGAAAGACCACACATAGAAGCTGTCATCGCAAAGACCAGAGCAGCCATGGCTCAACTCTACCCAATACTGGGTAGACACAGCCGGATGCCGCTAGCGACCAAGCTACGGCTGATCAAGGCCATCGCCAGACCTCAGCTCGCTTACGCCTCCGCGGTCTGGGGGTACGCTGCTCTAGAGATGAAGCTACTCCGGATCGCCACCAACCGATCCATCCTACGTAAGAAACTCAACCTTGCGTAGAGACCTGCATTGGGACACCATTCACGAGTACATGAGGAAAAAAGCGGAGAAGACCTTCCAGAAAGCTCAGGACCACCCTAACGAGCAGCTACGATTCCTCATGAACTACGATCCGGACGAGAGGCATCGCAACCGCAGAACCAGGTACCCTAGACCAAGGTCCCAGTTGGCACCCGCTAGTTGGAACCTTGACTAGGAGACTAGGAGAACCCGCGGTTGCTGCAACATCAAAAGTATCTGAAAACCGTCCTGTAGCCGCGACATCCCCGACTGGTACTAGAACAACCCGACGACAGAACTGGGTGGTCGGGGTCAGTGTGTCAGGTCGGTATGCAACCTGCAACCGACGGTCACGGTCACGCGCGTAGAGGTAAACGAACCGGTATAATCGATTGCGTTTCAATAAAAACAACGAGCACTAGAGACGTGGCTAGAGAAGTGCAAGTATCAAAAACTAAAGTGTGGCAAGCGCTGCGTGAAGAGGGGCTGTATCCGTTTCACGTCTAACGTGTACAAGCCCTTCAACCTGACGATTTTCCAGCAAGAGTGCGGTTTTGTGAGTAGTTGTTGCATCAACATGACAATAATCCGGACTCTTTGAAGTGCATATTCGTGTGACAGACGAATCTATGTTCACGCGTCGGGCACATTTTCAACAAACATTTTCGGTGAATGATAGGGCTGGCATGGTGAACGGTATGCTCATTGGACAATTTATTCTCCCAAATCGATTGGACGGGATGCAATACCTAGACTATTTACGCAACATTTTACCTTCCTTGTTAGCCTACGTCTGCTCGGTAGCGCATCAGCTGATTTCATTTTCTGTTGGAGCGGTATGATTTCTGGCAGAGACGTACTTAGCCCTTCTGGTCAACTGGAGAGAGAGTAATTTCACCAATATTTTTTTATTTACTCGGTCGTTGTCGTTTCACTACACATTACCTTTGTTATTTCAAGGGTAGTTGTTTCTGAAAAGGAAAACCCCAACTTCGCGGACATCCCGTATATGCCGCATCCGCGTCGCTCACCGAGGCGCGCTCTATCGCGTCACACCCGTTATTAAGAGAGGCACATCTACTCCCGTCGTTTACCCGCGCCCAGTGCAGCGAACCGAGTCGTGGCGTATCAAAGAATCAGATATGCGGCACCCGCGCCTCAGCCCGAGGCGTTGTTGTCAACCGCGTTACGGCCCTTATTAAGAGAGGCACATCTACTCCCGTCGTTTACCCGCGCCCAGTGCAGCGAACCGAGTCGTGGCGTATGAAAGAATCAGATATGCGGCACCCGCGCCTCAGCCCGAGGCGTTGTCAACCGCGTTACGGCTCTTTATTAAGAGAGGCACATCTACTCCCGTCGTT